AGCAGGGTATAAATTATTTTCTCGCTGCTCATTCGCCGGCGGTGATAAGTTTAAATCAAGGAAAACTCTTTCATCCGGAACTTGTCCGGCAAAAACTGTTCCAGAATAACCACCCAATGACTGGAGGTTATCTCTACTACGCACAACCTCGTTTTTTAGAACGGCTTCAACCTTCACGTACATCTCCAGCATTGTGATTACAAGAAATTCCCGGCATTCGTCCGGAGTCCTCAGAAAATCACTCAAAGTTTCATCATCGTCGATGTTAAACTTCGAGTAAAAAGCAACTCCTTGCGGAGTGACGGAATACGGATATCTTCCAGTTACTTTAAGTATCACTGAACGTTTCCTCACACTCATTTTTTTGCATAACAACGATATCAATTTATTGTACTCTATTGTAAGTGGCAATTTAACATGACACTGAGCATGTAAACTGTAGCCCACGGAGTTATTCTCCATCACAACCTCACTCTCCCCCAATATAATGAAACTCTTATTCTACGCTTTTTAGACATAATGAAAAAATATTGGAGAATTTAACAACAATAAACGTTTCAACAAGAGTTAAAATTTTTTTTGAATGAATTTCTATATAATCCTAACCTCTTTATATAGGAAATGGCTAGCCGGGAATTTTTTTTATATAAATATATATAGCGCCCAAAAAGTTGGCACTATATGCTTTTGAATTATTGAAGTCAAGAATTGTTGGTGGGGTCAGGAAAAAGGAGTATAGCGCCACAATATCTGGCGCTATACATTAACGGTGCCGTTATTGTTAATGTATAGCGCCAGATATTGTGGCGCTATATATAAAAATATCACTTTTTTTTCATCTATTAATGTATTTTGAGTCCAAAAGAACCACAATTAGGTTCGGGACTCAACTAAGTAGCAATATGAACTGCTCACTTTGATTTGATTGCTTGACAACTACAAGACCAAATACATAACCCCCTTTTCGCATCTTTGTCTTCCTTTCATTAATTCAAGGATTCTTCTTTCTCTTACCTTAGGTCTAAACTATTCATGCTTTTAATTTAAGCCTTGTCATTTTTTATTATTTCCTCTTCGCCTCTTGTGCCCCCTCCAAATTGAGATTATGGATCTTTTGATGAGGTGCTGCTCATCCAATTGAGGTAAAATTACAAAAATAAAAAAGAAGCTTAATTAGAGACAAGAGGGTTATATAATTTGGATAAACATCTCGTACCCAATATAGGAAAGACAATAATATAGGAAATTCTGCATTACGTCGGTCCACTCAGCAGAAATTTCAGCTCCTGAAAAAAGTCAAAAAAGAATCTGGAAAGGAAAGTAGTAAGTCTTAATGAGTAATGCAGTTGCCGTGGGTCAAAGAGCAGAAAATGTGCCCTGCTCCTCTTCCCCTTGAATTCTTGGTGCACTTGAAATCTGCCCTGACAAACCATCATAAGAAAGGGTCTGAAGTTGTGTGCTCAATGGATCACCACTGATTAGAGGAAAAAAGCTGGACTGAAGGGGTTCCCTGTGAGAAATGACCTTGTCTTCACTTAAAACTGATGGGAAATGATGTGCTAATAAACTGAATGAAGAATAATCCTCTCCATTTCCTGAATTTGAACTGGCAACATTCCCATTCAGACTTCTTTTATATCTAGTCATTTCCAAATTGGAATTGGTATATATTGGAAATGAACTGGTTAAGAAGCTGTCATGATGACCACCAGAGGAAAGGATTGTGTCTTCTTGAAAAGACTGGAAATTGAGAAAATGGCCATGTGGGTAGCTCTGGAACTCACTGAAAATGGCACCATCAGCTGATGAAAGCAAGCTCACATTCTGAATTGGGATGCCATAATTCACCTCCTGCTGGTGGTTCTGAACTCCATATTCAGAACTTGGTATTCCATAATTTTGTTGACCAAATCTTGGACGCTGTTCTATACAGCCTTCATCTAAAAGTTGATCAAATGAATACTGGATTTTGGCATTAAGTTTAGGAAACTTACCAAGAGCATCAATTGCAGCTTTAGCTTCTTTAATCAGCCAATCAATGGCCTCACTTGGACGGTCATAGCCAAGCCTATCTTGCACATCATAGAACTGAATTGCAGTGTTTGGTGAAAGCCTAACCCGTCTGTCCCTCGGACCCATTGCAGTTGAAACTTTGCTGTGCCTGTCTTTTCTTCCCGTGGCTCGAATAATTCGGCCTCTGTGAACTTCTATCACATCTTGTTTGGCTCTCTTTGGCTTCATACATTTTGTTACTTTGTTCAGTTCTTCTTTATATGTTGTGAAATTAGTCCATTTTGTTGGTTTTGGGCAGAGTGGCATTGGCAGCTGCTGTAAGTGCTGGTTTTGGCAATGACTATGAAAGTTCTCAATGCCATTTTCTTCAAAAACTTCCTCTTCCTCCTCCTCTTCTTCTGATGATCCATCTTCTTCCTCTGATATTTGAAGCGGGTGATTCATTGGAGGATCCAGATTCCAAGTATTCTCCTCCTTCCTCTCTTCTAGCTTTTGGATTCTTTAGTTTTTTTTAGGCACTTGCCAACTGCTTTAATAATAAACTCACTGTGACTTTGGGACCTTAAATAGTACTCCTTCTCCGTTCCAATTTATATGAACCCCTTGTTACGGAGTTGAAGAAAAAATGAAGACTTTTAGAATTTGTGATCCTAAACAAGTCAAAAACGGGTCAAAAGTATTTGTGTGGTTATAAATGCTTCTCATTAATGGTAGAATTGGAAGTTTAAGATAAATTGTTTCCAAATTTAGAAAGGATTCACTATTTTTAGAACGGACCAAAATGGAAATAGGTTTAGCTAACGGAGTATAGCTTTGCATAAGCAAACTGTAAGGTTAAAAAATTGTGCGAAATCAGTTTGTATGTTTTAATAGAATGAGCAAAAGCAAGCACAAATACACAAGTATAGAAGAGCATGGGACTTTCAGGTGCGTCCCCCAGTTTGCTTAAATATGACCCTACCATATATGCATGCCAGATAAAGTATACTACATAACAACAAATTTTTGAGTATGTGTGAACAGAGACCATTTAAAATTCATGCATGTAGGACCAAGAGGGAAAAGATACCGATAGTACATTTGTTACTTTAATTTCCTCACAGAAACATGAGACTAAAGGTTAAGGGGGTTTGTTTGGTTAAAGACAGGTTATTCCGAGATTATAAGATTATAATTTCATCTTCTGTATGGGATAAATGATCCAAGATTTTGGAAATGTATTGTATTAGACCGTAAGGCTATGTATATCTTACCATTCCCAGACCTTACTTTTGAGAAACTACTGGGTTTGTTGTTGTTATTATATTGGCCAAATACATAGACAGCCAATTAAACTTGGCCCAATTTTTCATTTTGGCACTTTAACTCAGCCTTGTTCCATTTTGGCCCTCCAACCCCATTTCTTTTGTTCTATTTTGACACAAAAGTTGACTAGATTCTATGTGTGATTTGTCTCACCCTTGTAGGCGCGTGAGAGCCATTTTTTAAGCCAAATTTCATACTCCCAACGTAGAGGCGGATCCAGAATTTAAATCCTATGGATTCAATTTTAATGTTTTTAACATTGAACCCATTATATTTTTAAAGTTACGGGTTTATATCTATTTTTTTTTACAATTTTAATGAATTTTTACATACAAATTTTCACTCTACGTCGAAAGTTATGAGTTCAGTTGAACCTGTATTTATTACGTCGAAAGTTGTGTCAAAGTGGAACAAAAAAAATGGGGTTAGAGGGTCAAAATGGAACAAGGCTACGTTAAAAGTGGCAAAATAAAAATTTGGGCCAAGTTTAATGACTTGTATATGTATTTGGCCAATTATATTAGAGCGTAAATAATTTCTAAGTATGAACAGTTACTACTCCTTCACACCCTCAACTAGTATCCCAAGTCTTTGTCTCCTTCTTGGCACCCATAGCATTGCAAAAGAAAGGGTTAGTTCTCAGTAAATTCTGAAGCACAGATGCGTTACTTTTTTTAATATAAGGTTGCACTTTTGGTAAAAACACTCACTATTGTCACCTTTCACCATTTACTGTTGAAGTTTGGCAAAATGCCAAAGTCCCACATTGGTTGGGAGTTAAGTTTGGAGGGGATTTTCCCCCTATAAAAGAAGGCCTAATGTTTAGGATTGAAACACACCTCTCATTTGCCTTCTCATCTGTTTAAGGCATTTGTATCTTCTCTCTTTAGTATTATTTCACTTGTATTTTTGGAGTGGAATAAAATATTTGGTTGTGTCCGAGGAGTAGGCAAAATTAGCCGAACCTCGTAAATTCTGGTGTTCCCTTTATTGTTGTTTTATTGTCTTATTTATTATTTGGTGGCTGTCATAATTTTTGGTATAGTAGTTGTGACTTATTCACACTATATACATTTGGCTTCCGCAACATTTACAACATTCCTTATCTATATTGCGTGAAATACCATCACTTACATGTTCATTTTTCGATAATGATTATTGGTCTAACGTGCCTCTTAGTCTGCTAAGACACAGATCTAGAATTTTTATAGCCTGGGTGCACCACTAAAGAAAGGAGAAAAAAAATATTTAGTGGGAATTGATTCCTGCTCCTCTAATAAATAACTCAACATCACCATTAATTTAGGGCCTTTGGAGCATGGATGCTAACAAATAATATATATTAGATCAATTTTAGAAAATATGTACATAAAATATCCAATTTGGCGAAAAGACCATGAGTTCACGTGCCTCATATATTAGGCTATAAATCCGCCCCCGAAGACACAGTAGCTTGCCTAAGGAACGAGGAGTCTATGCAATGGGGGAGAGAAAAAAGCATCGGCGAACCAGATGGGTGCAACAAGTTCAACATAACTCACAATTTATGTTTAGAACCTTTATATGGGTGAAAAAACCAAGTATAAATAGAGTTAACACTTGTTTTCAATGATAATATTCCGTGCCAACCTTTTTAGTCGCCACCAAATGTAAATGCCAAGTCGCCACAATAGATTTTAGGTAGGTACCTGCTCGAAGTAGCGATATATAGTTCGCCGTTGAAACTTACTTTTGTTGGCGACTAGCTAGAGGTCACCACAGAATACTGAAAACTTTATTTCCTGTAGTATAAGCATGTATTCAAAACTCATACTCTCGAGTCTCAGCTTACAAATCGGATTATCTAAATTTTGAAATCTACAACCGTAAAAAAAAGACTAATTATTCCTTCCGGTCCGCAATAACTAATCAATTTGCTTTGGGCATACCCATTAAGGTAATACTAAATTTTAGACAAAAATAGTTAGTGTGATTAAACTACCCTTTATTAAATGTTGTACCATAGTTATAGTAGCACTTACTTCTCTTCTCAAATCTGAGGAGTAAATGACTTTTTAGGGATACGTACATAAGGGTAATTTTGGAAAAACAAATTGAATTTTTTCTTGATTATATAAATGGACACTTATTTTGGACCAAAATAAAAAAATAAATTGGTCACTTATTGTGGACCGGGGGGGAGTAAAGTGTACTATTCTCTATTCCTTCCGGTCCACGATAAGTGACCAATTTGCTTTAGGCATGCCCATTAAGAAAATACTAAATTCTATACAAAATACCTAATATGACTAAACTACCCTTAATTAAATATTTAATGTGAGGAGTAAGAAAACTTTTTAGGGATATGTATACATAAGGGCAATTTTGTAAAAATAATTTTTTTTTTATTATATAAATGGACACTTATTTTGGACCAAAATAAAAAAATAAATTGGTCACTTATTATGAACCGGAGGGAGTAATATCTTGAAAATTTGTTTTTCTATATCTTGGGATTAAGAAGAATTGAAGGAATCCTTGTAAATTTTAGTATTTTCTGTTGTCAGTTTAAGGTTAACATTGAATCTCCTCCTACTTCCACAATGGTTGCATTATCCAAATAATGAAATACAACTATACCTGCCATCCCCAACCCTCTCACCACCATGAAATCAAGCATTGATTATCCAGTGTTCCAACAAGGAAAAGAGCTAATTCGTTTTACTCTTTGGGATTCACATTTCACTTTTTATGACATAAATTGAGTGTTTACTGCACAACCATCAGTACAAATAGTTATAATACTGTTTATCTGTTACTTTAATTAACCTGCTTGCGAGAAATACACTAGCCTCAAATCATCACCAAGTTTAAAGCGTCCCTTGTTTACAGTATGCCAGTAGTAAATTCAGCAGGTTACTGAAAATGAAAGTGACCTCTACCCTCTTCTTTTCTTGATACTTGAGGCGTTGCATGCACGGCCGAGCGAGAAATTTTAATAAGGTGATTCAAAAAAATATTAAGATTTGAACCTACAAGTATAACCTTGGGGAATTAAATTAAAGATTTTTTTTAATTGATCATGAGGGCCCTCCTAGGCTCAAGGTACAGGAACAAATTGCATGCGTGCATGTGCATGGTCTTCTGATTACCAACTATAGCACGTGAATCCTTTTAATCTTTTCATGGTCTTTTATCATCCAGTACTATAGCATGTGAACACCTTTTTCTCAACAACAAAAACAAAAAATTAAGGCGAAATGGCTTCCTGGCCATTTAAACTTGTATCAGTTTGTAAAGCCGATATATAAACTCTTGGCTTTCCCATTTGAACACCTTTACTTGAAAAAATGGCTACTAATAAATACTTGTAATAATGTGTGTTGTTCAGTTGCTGCTGACATGGATTTAATTCAATATTTTGCATAGCCACATCATCCATTCATTCACTTTTTTTTGACACCTGTATTAATCAGTCACCCACAATTATAGCAAAGATAACATATACAACTACTGACACTTGCATTTTCCGATTAAAAACCATCCTAGCGTCCCGTCGTCGGCGACCGTCCAAAAGAGTAGCTGCTAATAGGGAAGATGAACACAAACATAACAGCATTGGCAAAGCCGGAATACCTAGTTATAGATCGAAACCCACCTTTTACTAAGACTGTTGCCAATTTCAACACCCTCGATTACCTCCGTCTCACCACCATCTCCGGCATCTCTATCACTGTCGGCTATCTCTCCTGTAAACTCTTTTCTCTGCTTTACTTTTTAGCAGTCAAATCTTATTAATCAACTCTTAAATCAACCAAAACCCTAAGAAAAAACCAGTTAACAAATCAACTGACCCAGATCAAATAAACCCCAAGAAACTAAAAAAAAAAAGAAATAACTCCAGCACTAGACATGCAAATGAGCATAAAATTATAGAATCTTGAACTGAATCTTAAGCCAAAAAAAAAAAGTGGGTCAAAGTAACACTGTGAAAAAAAATAACGGCGGTGGTCGGTGGCGGGTTATAGTTCCGATAAAGATAAATAGAACAGAGATTTATAGATACAATTATACAGGTGCAGATTTACATATATATAGAGAGAAAAAGGAAGTATTGTAGAGAACGAGAGAGCAAAAATGGATGCAACAAAATGCATGGACGATTTCTTTTTGGTGGGGAAGACGTCAGACACTGGGAAGGAGGGGAAAAGAGAAGGGAAAAGGGAAAGGT